TGGGTCAGAGCTTGGTGCCTGAGGTAGATGATGGCGTCATCCACCCCGATGCCAGGCCGATAGGCAAACTGCAATGGATCTAATGAAGACCTCACCAGGTGGCGCAAATTGTTGAGGACCAGCCTCTCGAGGATCTTCATCAAATGTGAGGTCAGAGCCATCGGCCAGTAGTTACTGAGGTCCTTGGGATGTTTGGATTTTGGTACCGGTACCAAACTTTCCCCAGCTTCAGGCTCAGATTGAACATAAATCCCATGATGCCACACAGTTGATCTGAGCAGCACCTCAGGAGCCTGGAGCTAATTCTATCTGGACCTGCAGCTTTACGCACCTTGATCTTTCGCAGCTCATTCCTCACCTGAAGAGTTGATAGGGACAAGATGGAGGTGGGGGAAGAGGGCTGTGAAATGAAGTCTTCTGGAATGAAGGGGGAGGCTAATGGCTGAGAGCTGAGAGGTGTGATTTCCTGAGAAGAGAAGGTTAAAGCAGTCCTCATCCAATGGGAGAGTTGGGGGCAGCAGTCCATCATGCTGAAGTGTCCCTGGGCAAGACAACCCCTCATTGCCTCTGATGTGTGTCCCACTGTGTAGCACTGATAATTCAGATAGAGATCTAGTTAAAAAAAAATTGATAAACTCTCAAATAAAAAAATTACCTGGACTCATTTAATATCTTACCTCCACATCAATCTGGTTTCAGGAAACAACACAGCACAACCACTGCTTCACTGAAGGTTCTTAATGATGTTGTTGAAGCACTGGATGCTAAGGATTAATGTGCTGCACTTTTCTTAGACCTGTCTAAAGCTTTTGACACTGTGGATCATAACATCTTGTGTCATAAACTCAGAAATTGGTTTCTCAGATCGACCATTGGATGGTTCTCTAACGCTCTCTCAGACTGGAGGCAATGTGTTCAACATAATGGTACTTACTCCAGTTATTTAACAGTCAACAATGGTGTACCACAAGGCTCAGTCTTAGGACACACCCTCTTTACAATCTACATATGTAATGTAGGTCAAAACATCCCTGTTGCATCCATACATTTCTATGCTGATGACACAGTTGTTTATTGTCAAGCTAAAACAGTTGAAAAGGCTTTCCAGCTTTTGAAATCTGCATTCAACAACATACAGACAGATTTGTTCCACCTCGAACTTGTCCTAAATGCTGACAAAACCAAAGGGATGCTTTTTTCAAATAGGAAGTTGGTCCCAGCAGTTCTTCCTCTGATTTCATCCTCAAATGGTGTCCCCATTGAGTTTGTTGATTCCTATAAATATTTGGGTATCTTGGTCAACTCGCATCTCTCTTTTAAGCTCCATGTGGTAAACCTAGTAAAGAAACTGAAAGTTAAACTGGGTTTCTTTTTCAGAAACAGATCCTGTCTAACTTTGAATGCTAGAAAACGCCTTGTATCTGTGACTTTCCTTCCCTCCATTGATTATGGTGACATTATTTACATGAACACTCCTAAAAGAACCCTGCAGATGTTGGATGCTGTCTATCATGGTGCACTAAGATTCATAACTGGCTGTGATTATCGTACCCACCACTGCACCCTGTATTCACTGGTTAACTGGTCATCATTAACTTCACGCAGACTCTCTCACTGGTACATTTTCATCTTTAAATCACTTCTTGGTCTGTTGCCTTCATACATCTCCTCCTACATGTCTCTGTGTGAGTGCAGCTACAGCGTGCGCTCTCAGGACATTATTACCTGCAGTGTTCCCACAGTGAGGACTGAACTAGGCAAAAGGGCCTTCTCCTACTCTGCTCCTGTTTCCTGGAATATCTTATAAAAAGATTTGAAGCTCTCGACCTTGACCTCTCTAAGTGGCTTTAAGAATCTGCTGGACTCCTGGCAGGGAACAATGCAGACATGTTCCTGTTTTTAGTTTTCTAAATTCACCTTATAATCTAGCTGTTTTTTGTTACTTTTTTTTTAGCTATCTTATTTGTAAAAAAAAAATAATAAAATAAATATGTATGACTTTTTATAACTGTCTATTGTTGTCGCTGTTGTCCATTGTTGTCATCTTTCTTTGTTGAAATCAGGTCTCTCTTGTAAATGAGTCCTTGGGGCTCAATGGGATTTACCTGTCTAAATAAAGGTTGAATGAATAGTGTTGTGTGGGTAAATGAGGGCACAGGTTGTATTGTTGAGCACTTTGAGTATCTTGACAATATAGAAAGGAGTTATATAAGTACAGTCCATTTACCATTAAAATTACCATTTAAAATTACCATTTTAAAATTTAAAATTACCATTTTAAAATTTAAAATGACCATTTACCATTACTTTGAGTATCAATATAGAAAGGCGCTAGTACAGTCCATTTACCATTAAAATGTCTAAATGTCCATTCTGACATCCAGAACTTATGTTAAGTTCGTTTGTTAAAGCTGATAACTTTCTTAGTTTGACTGTATTCTTCCACCAACTTTTTCTTGTCACATGCGTGGTCACGTGACAAAAACTACATAAATCCAGGAAGAAGCAACAAAGAGCGGTGGGCAGCAAGAGATTAACTATCCCGTGGTTTCTTTCTCGTTGAGCTTGCGTTAAACAAATGACGTGTAAACACATCACTTGGCATTTAGGGCTCGAACATATCAATAAGCAAGTCAGTCTGAGTCTATGTCTTGATGCTATTAATATGTATGTACATTCTTTCATTTAAGTTTGTTCGGCTGCTTTGTTCGCTAGCCACTTAGCTAGTCCTGCAGTGCGCATGCGCTTTGAAGTAACAGGGAATTTTCTTGCTCTGACAAGTTAAATTCTGAACAAACTTTCTTTTTTTTTCACCACTTGTTTACGGAGCTGTTGGTTGTAGTAGGACGGGGCGATAAATACTCAGAGTTGTACAAAGCAGCTCTCCCTCGTCTTGTCTTGTTGGGGTTTTATGTATTTAGTTGGAGGCAGCTAGCTTAGCATGAAGATGCGGTTTAGCGGTGTTTTTGTGTGCGTGTTCCTGCTTTGGGTTGAGGGGTCTTGGGGTGACACACCAGCCAACTGCACCTATGAGGACCTGCTGGGGACTTGGGTGTTCCAGGTGTCCAAAGGAGGACACGACAGGACCGTCAACTGCTCGGCTGAAGGTAAGCAGCACACAAAGGGCTGATGATGATAAAGTAAAAAGTCCATGCAGATGTCACGTGACATGTTGGGGCCTGTTTCAAATGCATGTTGTTCTTTATTTCACTCGCTTGAACCAGATGTATGATTTGGTGCGAACCTTGTTCTGGACAGATGTGTTGTCTCCTCAGCCACAGGTGAGAGCACAGCGACGGTGACCCTGGAGAAACTGGCAGTGTCCACGGATGAGGTGGGAAACAGAGGCTTCTTCACCCTCATCTACAACCAGGGCTTCGAGGTGGTCATCGGTGGCTACAAATGGTTCGCCTTCTTCAAGGTAAGAGATAAAAAACACTCGAAAGTTTGAAACTTTAATGCTGCAAAACAAACTCATTGATTGAGCTCAGCTGATCTTACAATCATAGCTGTCATTCATTAACTCATCAGCTGGTGTTTGTTGGACATTATGGAAGAAAAACTTTGCTGTGGCTTGAAAGCCAAGTGGATTGTAGTCTATATTTCAACATTCAGTGGTTTCACCGTTTCTCATTTCCTTCATGATGATGATGACACATGATATCTGTAGGTTATGCTCTCTTTAGGTGCAGTGACATTAATCTTTTGGTCCATGGTTTAATTTTCATTATCACATGACACTGAGCTGAGGGAAGTGCAACAGACGTCCCGTCACGTGCATTATGATTCATTTGTGTCTGTCTCAACTTCCTCATTGTATGCTTTTTATGAAAAGTATATTTTGACACATTCAACCCTGAGCAGGATCTCAGAAACCTCCTTTCAGAACACACAGCACAACAAACGCCTGAATGCTTTACTGAAAGGGACTTCATCTGGATGGCGGTGAAGTCCTTTCACTTTAAAACAGGGTTTTTAAAGTGTGGTACACTTTTTTCTTTTACATATTTTCTACATCAGCATCCTTTTTAAATTCAATTCAGTTTATTTCTATGGCACCAAGTTACAACAGAAGTCCTCTCGGTGCACTGAACAGAAACATTCATATTTATGTATATATGTGAGGAGCAGACTGATTTGAGTTTAACCTCATCACAGAACTCTCATCTTGAGCAAACATGAAGGAGACAGTAGGAAGAAAAAAACTCCTTCATGAGGAAGAAACTTTTAGCAGAACCAGACTCGGGACATGTAACCATCTTCTTCGACCGACTGGGTTTCAGAGGAACAGATACACAATGGCAGGTCACGAATCACATGTTAAGATAGAAAAAGTATCATGAAATCTATTCAATTTTAACAATTTATTTAAAGAAATGAGGTCAGTTTATCTTCCAGTAATCTAAGTTTAAAACAGTATGACAAGCCAACCCTAACTATAGGATTTATCAAAAAGGAAAGTCTTAATCCCAGTCTTCAAACTGGACAATGTGTCAGCCTCACGGACAGAAACTGGAAGTTGGTTCCACAAGAGAGGAGCCTGATAACTGAAAGATCTGTCTCTCATTCTGTTTTTGGAAACTCTAGGAACCACAAGTAAACCTGCAGTCTGAGAGCGAAGTGCTCTGTTAGGAAAATATGGAACAATAAGATCTGTAATATAAGATGGAGCTAGGTTGTTGAGGGCTTTGTAGGTTAGAAGTAAGATTTTACACGTTTATTGTCCTTCCACTGATTGAGCCTCAGGTGATGGAGTCCTTAGTCTGCTGAGACGGAGGACCGGGGACATGTCCTCAGTGGGTGGACAAACATGTTGATGTCCATATCCAATTGAGTTAGACACGCACACAGAAATGAACACACAGATTTAATCCACAAACCGTCCCAGACAGCAGTGTCTCACAATAATCAGACACAGACTGGTGCAGTTTCCTTCACACGCATGTCTCTGAAGACCTAAAAGACTACGGTAGTTTGGCAGTAGTTTAGCACAGTTTGACGTTGTTTTATGGTGATTTAAAAGAAAAAGCCATGTCGTTCTGGCCGAGCTTTAAAAGTTCAGCTGACAAGGCCTTAAATAAAACACAAATGTGTGACACAAAACTTTTTGACGTCACGTTTAACACAAAACATTTTGTTGTTGTTTTCAAGCCGTTCAGAATAAACTGACTAAAACATGAAACGTTAATGTTCTGTTCCTTGAATCATCATGACCTCTGACCACTGCTGACAATAACGGAGCTCCTTGCGGCATTTTCGTGCATGCAATCAACATTTTAACGTCCTCTTACAAACACTGAAGAGTTCTCCCCAACATTTTTCACTCAGGTCATCTGGACATTTTCTTTTTTTTTTTTTCTCAAACATTTTGCCTTCAATCCAGAAGGCTTCATCAGTCAAGGAAACACACAACAAAACTGATTCTTCCCTCAACAGCGTACTCCAAAGTGGAACAAACCAGTTATGTTGGTGCTGAGTTGGTGTCTTTGTCACGCCCCCTCCTCCATTGGCAGCCCTCTTCCTTGTTGACAGTTGTATCAAACTGGTTGAAAACAACAAAGTCCATGCTCAATAATCAATAATAATAAAAAATAAAAATGTTGGATTGTATACCTGGATTACTGAGCATGGACTTTGTTGTTTTCAACCAGTTTGACACGACTGTCAACGAGGAAGAGGGCCGGCAATGGAGGAGGGGCGTACCAAAGAGACCATCTTATCACAAGCAGAACTGGTTTGTTCCACTTTGGAGGAAGCTGTTGGAGGAAGAATCAGTTTCGTTGTGCGTTTCCTTGATTGATGAAGCCTTCTGGATCGAAGGCGAAATATTTCAGCACACAAAAAAAAAAAGAAACTGTCCAAATGACCAGACTGAAAAATGTTGGATTGTATACGTTGATTATTGAGCATGGACTTTCCTGAAGATTACTATGTATCTGACTGACTAAATGTGAAATAAACGATACAGAACTTGTATTAAAATTAACAAAGTTGCACCTACTCTTGCAGTGAGTAGCAGCCATCTTGGATCTGAGGAACTCCCACTTTCCCAACGGGAATTCTGACTTAAGGGGAGCACCAGTTGACATTTTCCACTGGGAACTTTTAAATTCCCACTTCCCAGTACAGCTGGAATGCCATCAACTAGTACATGCTGTCATTGCTGTCACACTGTAGGAGTGTACTGCTTAGTGGGGAAAACAGTTTGTTTGTGACTCCTCAGACTGATGAAGCCCTTCAGATGGAGGTGAAACGTCTCAACAAAAAAAGAAACCGTCCAGATGACCTGACTGAACAATGCTGGATTTTTTTTTTACCTGGAATATTGAGCATGGACCTGGATGCTGTCATTCTGACTTTCCCAGTTCCAGTTCCAGTTCCAGCGTAAATGGAACATGGCATTACTTTTTCTGGTTTATTTTATTTATGTTCTCACATACCCCCCCCCCCCCCCATTGAAGAACTCTGTCGCCCCCTTTGGGAGGCTCGCTCCACACTTTGAAAAACTCTGCTTCAAAGTATTTATATTTCAGCCTTAAAGCTGTGCTCTTCTCATGCTTTCAGTACACGGAGGAAGGCTCCAAAGTGACCAGTTACTGCGACCAGACCCTGCCAGGCTGGGTTCATGATGTCCTGGGACGGAACTGGGCCTGTTTTGTGGGGAAGAAGGTCGACCCAGTGCCACCCAGAACGGATTACAAACCAGTCTTCAGCAGCGGGTATGGATTTGTCCACTTAGAACAATTTATGTATTTATTTATTGGTTAAAGAGCACAAAATAACAGTCACAGTCGTACTGTGGCAAATTTGACTATTCTGCTTTATTCCATGTTCCTTTTTTTTTATTTAATGATGTGAGCTGGATTTGGGGATGTTTTTAAAAGAAGCTACAAGATGAATTTTCATCTGATGAACCAGATCTAGATGCAGGTGTTTCAAATGAACACATTTTTATGGCATCAGGCTGCTTCCTGCATCTGGCCCATCCTGTTGTGCTGAAGCCAGCTTGTTAAGCAGAACATCTCTGTTGTTTTTAGATGTGACCAGCAACATTTTTTCTGTTTTATCTCCAAAAATTTTGGGATCTGCGTTATCCTATAGCACATATCCCAACCATAAATGTTAGTGTTTTTAAGTAATGTCAAATAAATGCCCTATAATCAAGACGAGGTTATTAGAAGATATAAAATGTCGAGAAGCTCAGGAAGTCTGACTCCGGAGGGCTGTCTTGATCATGCTGCGGGCTCGTGCTTTGGATAACTTTACACTGTTCCAGGGGAGAACAGATTAAACTACATGCTAAGGTGGTTGTTACACAATAACACCTACTCTGTTCAAGGAAAAATACTTCAGCATCATAATGAACATTTTGATTGGACTTTAAACGGCAACGATCTGATTGTTTTGTGCTTGGATTGTAACGGTCAGCAAATCTTTGCAGTGCATGTGACATCAGGTCTTTGTTGCAACATTGTTTGTGTCAAGTCTGGAACCATTCTTAAAAAACACCCTCCTCCCGATTAAGTAGTTTGAGTTCTCATGAAATGTGCAGCTGCAGCTATCTGACTGTCAGACGTGCATTTGTGTGATTTGTATCTTGATCACCCTCTGCGTGTTTGTTGCCACTGTTCGCTGTGTTGTAAAAAAACCCCGATCTGCATCCCCTCCTGCATCATTTCCCCTCTTCAGGCTGCTCCAGAAGCCGTACAAACACAACTTGGACTTCATTGATTTGATCAACTCGGTTCAGGCGTCCTGGAAGGCCTCGCCATATCCAGAACACGAGACGTTCACTTTACAGGAGCTGCATCGCAGAGCAGGGGGGCCTGCCTCCCGTATCCCTGTGTGAGTATCCACTCCCATTTTACATCTTCCACCACACATCAGTTTTTAATGTACACAAAAACAGTGTGGTGTCATTAACAGATGGTTGTTGTTCTCTGTATTTTATTGTTTATGTGATAAACAAGCCTTCACACAATAAACTTCCAGCTTTCATTGACAGTTCACGTAAATGTTTTTCCTTAATGTGCTGCTTTATTTATTTATTTATTTATTTTTTTAATCAGGCGCGCTCACATCATGCCTGTGAGCGCTGATTTAGCCAAGATGGCTGCAGCTCTGCCTGAGCACTGGGACTGGAGGAATGTGAATGGTGTGAACTTTGTCAGCCCCGTGAGAAATCAAGGTGACTCTTCATTTCTGTCCCGTAAAACTTTAATCACTATATTTGTACTGTTGAGTACTGCATCGTTTATTGTGCTATAACTCACTTGAGGTGTAATGAGTAGAATTTAAGAAGACGTTCAGGTTTAGAGGCAGACAGACCTTCAGCTCTGCGTTTAACCAGCTGTCGGTAAACTCACCGCGGAGCAGCAGCAGCTCGCCTCCTTCTCTCTTGGCACGTCTGGGTCTGCTTGCTGCTCTTGTGTTTTTTGCACGGTCTGGTGTGTGAGTAAAAAGATTATGTGGGCTGAGTACTCGGAGGGTCTGAGAGGGTCTCTGTAGGGTGGGCTTTAAGAGTCTGGAGAGAGTTGAAGTGGTTCAGCGGAAACCCTGTAAGCCACTGAGCAGGGTCCTGGAGCTTATTTTGCTGTAATGTTATGAGTCAAGGGGACTTCTTTCTTTCTTTAGGTTCTACTGCTGTTCACAAAACTTGGTTGGAGGGAGACAACTATGCTCTTGTTAGTCTTAGTAAGGAGTAGCTGCAAACAGAATCAGGGCTGCAGTATTAACACAAACACCAGACACACAAAGTAAATCTATAGTTTATAATTACTGCATCATGGTTTTTCAATATACATAAAAAATGTGTTGGTCTTTTCGTCACATTAGCTCATTTGTCTTTTAAATAAACAAAAACATTGTCTAGTTTAAACCAGGTTTAGTTTAAACCGCAAAGTAATAATGCTATATTTATTTTAGTGTTTATAAATAAGCAATATACTAAACCAGGAGTCTCAGTCTTTATGTTTAAAGGCCTTTATTTCTAAAGGTTCAAGGTTCTGTAATGTCATTCGCATCACATGTGGCACATGAGGTGAAACGAAATTGTGTACACAAGGTCCCAGTTACACCTAAAAATAGCAAAAATATAAAGTATAAAAAGAAACGGTATACAAGGATCTAAGGTATATGCTTAAAAAATATATACGGTGTATTAAACAGCAGCCTGAACATGAGTCTGTTGTGAGCAGATGGGTAAGAATCAGCAGCATGGATAATCAAAAGCTGCTGATTTCTTGCTGTATTCATACCCATCTGCTCACAGCAGACTCATGTTCAGGCTGCTGTTTGATACACCGTATTTTACATTATTATTGTTTAGCGTATATCTTAGATCCTTGTACACGGTTTCTTTCTTTTTCATTAATAGGTTATATAAAGTTACAAAATCTATTTGTCTCTTGAAAGACATACATTATACATTTTCATTTGTGTAATTTATATAGAAAAACTATTGTTTTGTGAAATAGCTTTTTTAATTTTTTGGTGTTGACAAATAGGAAAAACACTTTATGTACAGGGAAATGTAACCTTCCCGTTGAAAAGTGTTTAACTTGTTTCTCTGCTGGAACACACCTGCAGAAGCCTGTTAATCACCCATGGATTCAGATCAGGTGTGTTGAAGCAGAACCATCTAAAATATAAACCGCGGGTACAAAGTGTGAGAAAAATGTAGCAGCTTATACAACGGCAATTACGGTAAATGCTTCCTGTATTCATGTAGATTAACTAAAACAGTAGTCCCTCGTTTATTGTGGGGGGGTTGCGTTCCAGAGACCACTGTGATGGGTGAAAAACTGCAAAGTAATAACGCTATATTTATTTTAGTGTTTATAAATATTTTATGGCTTTATAAACCTTTCACACACTCTTGCAATGTTCTCTTCACTCATAAACCTATGTCATTTTAACAACATGCGTGTATGTACTGCACAGCAGCTACCACAAAATGTTTATATGGGTACTCGGCAGCTCTGCAGAAGCTCGGTTCTGTTCGGCTTCCCTGCAGCATGACGAAGCCCACCGTCCTATCCAGGCTGATGTTCACGTGCTGCCACTCCAGGAAGGACACTTGGCACGCAAGGCTGCTCATGATGTAGTCCACTACCTCGGCCCGGTCCGGAGCAGCACTACGCAACCAGAACCAGGCCGAACCCAGTCATTTTATCCAGTCAGATTTGTTCCACCTCAAACTTGTCCTAAATGCCGATAAAACCAAAGGGATGCTGTTTTCCAAACAGGAAGTCGGTCCCAGCAGTTCTTCCTCTGATTTCATCCTCAAATGATGTCCCTACTGAGTTTGTTGATTCCTATAAATATTTAGGTATCTTGGTCGACTCGCTCTCTCTTTTAAGCTCCATTTGGAAAACCTGGTAAAGAAACTGAAAGTTAAACTGGGTTTCTTTTTCAGAAACAGATCCTGTCTAACTGAGCGATGGGAAACACCTTGTGACTGTGACTTTCCTTCCCTCCATTGATTACGTTGACATTATTTACATGAACGCTCCTACAAGAACCCTGCAGATGTTGGATGCTGTCTATCATGATCTAAGATTCATAACTGGCTGTGATTATCGTACCCACCACTGCGCCCTGTATTCACTGGTTAACTGGTCATCATTATCTTCACGCAGACTCTCCCACTGGTACATTTTCATCTTTTTTTCATTCATTCAACCTTTATTTAGACAGGTAAATCCCATTGAACCTTGAGGACTCATTTGGCATCTTTAAATTCTTTAAATCACTTCTTGGTCTGCTGCCTTCATACATCTCCTACATGTCTCTGTGTGAGTGCAGCTACAGCATGCGCTGTCAGGACATTATCACCTGCAGTGTTCCCTCAGTGAGGACTGAACTAGGCAAAAGGACCTTGTCCTACTCCGCTCCTGGTTCCTGGAATATCTTACAAAAAGATCTGAAGCTCTTGACCTCTCTAAGTGGCTTTAAACATCTGTTGGACTCCTGGCAGGGACCAATGCAGACATGTTCCTGTTTTTAGTTTTCTACATTCGCCTTATGATCTAGCTGTTTTTTGTTACTTTTTTGCAATCTTATTTTAATTTGTTGAAAAAAAAAAAATCTGTATGCCTCTTTTAAAACTGTCTATTGTTGTCACTTTGTCCACTGTTGTCATCATTCCTTGTTAAAATCGTGTCTCTCTTGTAAATGAGTCCTTGAGGCTCAATGGGATTAACCTGTCTAAATAAAGCTTGAATGAAGGAATGAACCCTGCCGCCGTCTGTTCCCTGCAGCTCCCAGGACTCAGGTCACACTGAGTCCGTATCAACTGCAGCCCAGTAACTCACCAGAAAAGATACTGCTTGAAGGATGAGTTCAGCTTCAGGATTATTTGCGACTTTCCTGCCAGTTCTGTGAGCTTCATAGATGGATCGTTACTTCTGATTTTGCGTTGCAAAACTTTCCCTCTGTAGTATGTCAGGACAGCTTTGCTGTGGACACATGGGCCACCATTTATGTTATTTAAAACACGTACGGGGCACTATTTATGTAGTGAGCTAAGGCGTTAACTTCACTACTAATAAATATTCTTAAAGCTAGTTCAAACACAAAGAATATTAATTGTTTAATTACAACAGATTCTTTTCTTTTTCGAGTTAAATTTCTGCCATCTGACCAAGATAACTGTGAGTGGAGTGTTTAAATCAGTGACATGAGACGCCATTTTATCTTTGACCCATCAGAATAAATGCGGTCATTTATTTAACAGAATCAAAATTTAACATAAAAACATGTACACATTGATTTGCTGATCTGTTTCTGATTAATAAACTTGGCACGCTTTACTAACA